CCCTCAGATAATTTCAGAATTCTCTTCATGTAATGTAATAAATCTCACTGATTTTACCTAAGCCTTATTGGTAGTTCTCACGAATTCTCACAGAAGAACAACTCAAGTGCCACTCGATCAACGTCACTAAAGACACTGCCATAGAGACGGTTTTAAGTTCTTTGTGTATAATTGAATCTGACCGTATGTGCCCCGGGATAGAACACGGGGCCCTCGGGAACTCTTAAGTCACTGATGTACACTGTCTTGGTTATTGTGTTTAATGGTACTGTCAAGATTTAGGTTAGGCTAGATTAGGTTTATATCACACCAAAACTGCCTCGTTTACAATCACTTTAAATTAACTTAATGCTTGCCCCCCCCCCCCTTCCGTTCCCTCTCCCCTGGATGTGTCTGTTACTGCTAGCCTAAAGTTGAGTGAACTTTTAGGCAAATTTCTGTATGTCATATCTGATTCTTCCTCAATCAGCTTTGGTAACTTCCACTACTTCCAGGTCGTGACAAACTTGAGTCATATTCCATGTAAATTATAGAAGAGGATCTGTGTCAAGGCTCCTGCTAGTCTATCACGTTCTCTCTTGTACAGTACCAAGATAATTCTCCTCTTTTATGCACCATTTACTCCAGGTGTTTTATGTTATTCAAAGACGTCATTATTATCTTAACCGCCAAACAAGGAAAAAAATCCTGCTGATCCACTAAATTACAGACCGATCTCCCTCCTCGATGTACATACCCGGCAAAATCGGTGAAAAAATCATCATTAACCGTCTGAGAAATCACCTTGAAACGACCAACAGGATCAATTTCAGACAATTTGGGTTTAGGAAAAGGAAGTCCACCTCAACAGCCAGAACCGCAGTGAGTTATAGCCAATGTAACCACGAAGCGAAGGCGTTTAACAAACTATGTCATGACGGTCTAATATATGAAATCCTTCAACTCGGACTTCCCGCCAACATCGAAAAGCTGTTTTGCAACTTTCTTGGCGGCAGAAACGCCAGACTGAGGGTGAGACAAAACACAGGAGAGACCTTCCCACTAATGAACGGAGTCCCTCAGGACGGCGTCCTCTCTCCCACCCTACAGGAAACGAAGATGTTATACATGCATTACTCAAATAACACGAAGAAATTCACTAGCAATATACAGTAGGTCAACAACACCAAACGGGAATTAAAAAGGGTAAATAACTATGAAGAAAAATGAAAAATCCAAAACAGTCTCCAAAAATTCAGTGATACCCTTATATTGAATGAAAACCTATCCATTAATAATAATCAACAATGCCCAGATAGAATACAATAGCAGCGACACACTCCTGGGCCTGAATGTATCCACGACAGGTTACTCCCATCATGTCCACACCAGGAAGGAAAAATCAAAAAGGGAGCTGAGAAAACTATACCGCTTTACTGCGCTTCCTGAAAAAATAAAACCCCGCCAGGTGACATCACTTATCATACCGATATTAACTTACCCAGCAGTACCTATTCATACTATGAGCACCACTCAAATATTAAAATTACAAGTAGTCCAGAACGAAGCCCTGAGATTCATCACAGGTGAAAGATACCCCTTCACCAGAACGACAGCCGAGATACATAGAGACCTGAGAATATAACCCATCAACCAGCAGCTACACACCCTGGCAAACAGAGTCTGGCAAAAGATAGAACGATCAGAGCAAGAACTCCTTCAAAGACTCCCACCAGATAACAACAACAACCATACATCGTCCCCCAAAAGATACCGAACCTCAACAAGTCCCTTACCACCCCTGATCTATACGGCCAGGCAATGGACAACCTCCCAAGACCACCCTCAAACCACCCGTAAATAGGGTTAGTGTGTGTAGTGTCAAAGTCGCCAGAAGCGGACAGCCAACTAGTAAATTACCTCCAAGAAAATCACCTACAACAACTAGCTCAGGACACAACTTTAACACACTATTAGCTTAACTAGCCAGTAGTAAGGCGGTCAGCCCACCTCCTTCTCCCTCCTAAATGTCTTCAATTTCCGAACAATTAACCCCCGCCCCCCTCCTTCCTCCCTCCTCTAATTTTCTTTCACCTCCTTCTTTCTTTACACACATAAAGAAAGACTCGCTGAAAAGGTCTACACCTCATCAATATTCGCCTGCCTTCTGCCCGTGGTGGCGCTGTTCAGGATCAGTGAGGGGGAGAATAAGTGAAGGGGATGAGGGGGGGAGGAGGACTCGAAATGGGGGAGACAAAGTGATGGGGAGCAGGTGTTGGGGGTGGGGGTGGAGGACCAGGTGTTGGGGGAGGACAGGACCAGGTGTTGGAGATGGGGGGAGGACCAGGTGTTGGGGGTGGGGGGTGAAAAACGTGTTGAAGAAGATAGATGGACGTAAAAGAAGAAAGGAATAATCAGAAAGAGATGAGAAGAATGAGGGAAGAGGAGAAACGAAGGGATTAGAAGAACAAAGGAAGAGGAATAAGGAAAGGAAGTAGAAAAAGAAAGAATAGGGAATTAAACGAGAGAGAGAGAGGATATCACTAAATAACTCAAAGAAACAAATAAGTAAGAGGAAGTAACAGTGGTGATATAAGTAATTAGTTCAGTAAATTTAGAGATGCTATAAGTAACCAATAAGTAACTTTAGTGACGTTTTTAATTCGCTGTTTAAGTAACTTTAGTGACACTTAAGTAACCAAACCCCCTTCCCCTTCTCCTCCTTCCCCTCCTCTCACCCCTCCTCCTCCCCTCCCTCTCTCCCCCCCTCCTCCCCCCACTCCACCCTCCCTCCTCCCCCGCCCCCCACCCCCAGGAACATTAATTTCATTCCTAGTCAGTAATTTGTAATTAAACAGAACTTTAAAAATAATCACAGTTTATGCTGGACATTGTTATTCATAAGACAAGTGTGTGTTAAACTCTGCACATACATTGTGTGTGTGTGTGTGTGTGCGTGTGCTTGGTGTGTGTGTGTGTGTGTGTGTGTGTGCGTTTCTTGGTGTGTGTGTGTGTGTGTGTGTTTCTTGGTGTGTGTGTGTGTGTGTGTGTGTGTTTTGTGTGTGTGTGTGTGTGTGTGTGTGTGTTTCTTGGTGTGTGTGTGTGTGTGTGTGTGTGTGTGTGTGTGCGTTTCTTGGTGTGTGTGTGTGTGTGTGTGTGTGTGTGTGTTTCTTGGTGTGTGTGTGTGTGTGTGTGTGTGTGTGTGTGTGTGTTGTGTTTCTTGGTGTGTGTTTGTGTTTGTGTATGTGTGTGTTTCCGTCTGAGAAACAAAAGAAAACATGTTTTTTTCCTCGAGTGTTTTACTCTGTCTAAACACATGTATTACGATTATATGTGGAAGTCTTCAAGGGGTGTTTAGTAGGGCTTTCAGGGTCTGGTGGTGATTAAATTAAGCCCTTGATTACGATGAACCCTTGAGTACGATGACTTAGCTCTTTGAGTATGATGACTTAGTTCCTTGAGCACGATGACTTAATTATTTGACCACGATTACTTTACTCCGTGAGTTTGATGAATTAATCCCTTGAGTACGATGACAACCTCTTGAACACGATAACTTAACTCCCTGAGTAAAATGTCATCATACTCAAGAAGTTAACAATATCATACTGAAAGGTTTAAAACATCATACTCAGGAATTTAAGACATAATACTCAGGGGGTTAAAATAATGTACTCAATGGATTTAAACATCGTACTCAAGGGGTTATGTACTCAGCATCCATCTTTTAACATACAGTATCTATCCATATAAGAATATCTTATCGGATTAAACTGGGAGGAAATAAACATATAAATAAATAAACATAAAAGAGAAAGTTAGTGAGAGTTTAGAGACTTCAACCGATATGAATATTATTTACGTTGAAATTCCTGGAAACTTAACAAAAATAAAGGCTTCCATAGTTACAATAATACACATTATATTAAGTGATTTGAGTTGTGTTAGAGATACGTTTGGGAGGCGTGAGGGAAGAGGGGTGAGGAGATGAGGGAACGAGGAAGGGAACGAGGGAACGATGAGGGAACGAGGGAGGGATGAGGGAACGATGAGGGAACGAGGGAGGGATGAGGGAACGAGGGAGGGATGAGGGAACGAGGGAGGGATGAGGGAACGACGAGGAAGGGATGAGGGAACGAGGAAAGGATGAGGGAACGATGAAGGAACGAGGAGGGATGAGGGAACGATGAGGGAACGAGGAAAGGATGAGGGAAACGATGAGGAACGAGGAAAGGATGAGGGAGGGGAACGAGGAAAGGATGAGGGAACGATGAGGAACGAGGAAAGGATGAGGGAACGTGAAGGGATGAGGAAACGAGGAGGGATGAGGAACGAGGAAGGATGAGGAACGATGAGGGAACGAGGAAGGATGAGGAACGAGGGAGGGATGAGGGAACTATGAGGAACGAGAGAGGGATGGGGGGAACGAGGAAGGGATGAGGAACGCTTGGAAGGGATGAGGGAACGAGGAAGGGATGAGGAACGAGGAAGGGATGAGGGGAACGAGGGAGGGATGAGGAAACGATGAGGATGAGGGAACGAGAAGGGATGAGGGAACGAGGGAGGAACGAGGGAGGATGAGGGAAACGAGGGAACGATGAGGAAACGAGGGAGGGATGAGGGAACGATGAGGATGAGGGAACTATGAGGAATGAGAGAGGGATGGGGGAACGAGGAAGGGATGAGGGAACGCGGAAGGGATGAGGGAACGAGGGAACGATGAGGGAACGAGGGAGGGATGAGGGAACGATGAGGGATGAGGGAACTATGAGGGAACGAGAGAGGGATGGGGGAACGAGGAAGGGATGAGGGAACGAGGAAGGGATGAGGGAACGAGGAAGGGATGAGGGAACGATGAGGAAACGATGAGGGAACGAGGGAAGGATGAGGGAACGAGGGAGGATGTGAAGGAACGAAAGAGGATGAGGAAGTATGAGGGGTGAGGGAAGATAGCGAAGTTAACATAAGTTTATATAGCTGGTGAGGTAGAGGTTGTTTACACTTAACTGTAGGGTGCTTACCTTGTGTAGGGGCCAACAAAATCACGATCGCCCACACCAAGACGCTCACTTTGAATACCACCTCCATTGTTAAATTCTACCGAGTTCTTTTGTTTTGTAAGTTCAAGTGGTTTGTTTTCCCTTTTTTTTTCAGAGTCTTTTCGGGAATAAATCTGAGTTAAGGAAGTTGTAGTGAACGTTCTTTTTTTGGGGATGGGGTTATCGTGTTCGTTTTCTGTGTCGTGGGAGTTAAACCGAGGGAAGGAGAGTTAGGGGGAAGACTGCACACTATACTGACTCTCCAGATGCCACAAGTTGGAGATGAAGGATGGTGGTGGTGGTGGTGGTGCAGGACTGGTGAGAGCGGGTCCACGTGGGGCCAGGAGCTGGGGCAGTGGTGTGCGGTAGTGGGCGGGGCTACTACTGTCTCCCTTCACGGTCAAGGTCGCGCTTCACTAGCAAATGCCGGCGCTGGACCCCCGGCCTTCACCACAGCCAACCGTCGTCCTTTTGCGCCAAGAGTCTCAGCCACACTAACTGGTGGCCAGTCTGCACGATCCACTGCTAGCGGCGCTGACAGGATGATCGTGGACGGCAGTAACTACACAGCATCACCCTCTGCCTAGACTGAGGAAGTGTGGTTGATCCTCGTGAGCTGGCGGCCTGTTGTTGTCAATCACGCGGACTTACTGACAGTGTAAGTGGCCACTCACTCCACCCCTCACTTACTCGCCTCTTTTTTTCCACCAACACAGTTTATAGCATTTAATTGTACGATGTTTCGAGAGTAAGAGTTACACGTGTGTCATCTGAGGCGGTGAGAGATGCCATGAAGGAGAGGGAGAGGCGTGGTGGCGCATGCAGGCAGACAGACTGTGCAGCACGTGGCGGCCTCAGGGAGACTTCAAGGCGTCACTTGCTCCTCTCGACTACTGGGGATTGTGCAGGACGCGGGGCTGGCGACGCCTGGAGTGTAGTGAGTGCAGCAAGAGTGCGAGGGCGGGCATGGGGAGGTGTAGCGTGGCAGTGTGTGTGTGTGGGGACGGAGACTGGTGGTGGAGGCGTTGCTGGGGCAGTACGCGCGCCGACACCCACGGACTGCCAGGAACTGGCCTCCACACCCGCTTCACCAGCCCTATATCCCAACCAGCACGCAGCACCCAGGCAGGCTGGGCGCCTGCCTGGGTGCTACACTCCCCCTCCCTCCCTCCTCCCTCCCTCCCTCCCTCCTCCCTCCCTCCCTCCTCCCTCCCTCCCTCCCTCCCTCCCACCAGCCCGGTCCTGCCTCCACCACAAACAACACATCCCACTCCCTTCCTATCTCCACCTTCAAAACTACCCCCACCCCTTACCCACTTCCTTCCTCCAACACACCCTCCTCCCCCTTTCTCCATCCCTCCTTTTCCTTCTCCACCACCCCTCGACCCTCCTCTCCACCATCAACACACACCCACTCACCACCACTACCTCCCCCCCCACTACCTTCCAACCCCCTCGCTTCCACCCACTCACACTTCCCCACCACATCTCACCACCACACGAATCTAACTTAACCCACCCACTGCAACCACTACCTCCCTGTCCACCACTCACCTCCTCCCCACCACCACTACCCCTCCTCCCCCACCACCACTACCCTCCTCCATCATCACCACTCACCCTCCTCCACCACCAATCTCCTCCCCACCACCACCACACCACCTCCTCCACCACCACCACTCACCTTCCCCACCACCACCACTACACTCCTCCATCACCACCACCACCACTACCCTCCCCATGTACCCTCCACCTCCCTCCCGCTTCCCACCACCACCACCAGTACCCCCCATGTACCCTCCACCTCCTCCTCGCTTCCCACCACCACCACCACCACTACCTCCCCATGCCTCCACCTCCTCCTCGCTTCCCACCACCACCACCACCACCTCCCCATGTACCTCCACCTCCCTCCTCCCCGCTTCCCACCACCACCACCACACCACCTCCCATACCTCCACCTCCCTCCCTCGCTTCCCTCCACCACTACCTCCACCTCCTTCCCTCTTGTTTGATTTATTAATACATTTTTATTAAATTTATCCGTGACGTCTACCAACACATCGTACTTCACCTGAAGATTAACCACCCTAACGCTCTCTTAGGGGGCTTAGGTTAGGTTAGGTTAGGTTTCAGTTCTTGCGTATTATAAGCCTGTGATGTAGGTAATTGTTCTGTTAGCAAGTATTTATCTATCCGTGCGTCTCGCTATCTAACACACACACACACACACACACACACACACACACATGGGCTGACCAATAGAGGGTCAAGACCGATTCGGCGCCCCGTTCCTGGAGCCGCCTGGGCCAGCCTGTTGTGGCACCCTACCCTCAACCCCTCCTACCTTCAACCCCCTCCCTGAACCCCTCCGACGCTCAACCCCCTCCCCTCAACCCCTCCTCCTTCCAACCCCCTCCCCTCAACACCTCCTCCTTCCACCCTCCCTCAACCTCCTCCTCCCAACCCTCCTCAACCCCTCCTACCCTCAACTCCCTCCCCTCAACCCCTCCTACCCTCAACTCTCTCCCCTAAACCCCTCCTCCCCACCGGAATAACAGCAAGTTTTCGCCAGAAGTTACAATTTCGTTTCGGAAAGGAGTGAAATCAGTTTTGAACAGCGAGGAACAGTGATGAACAGTGATGAACAGTGGTGAATAGTGCTTAATGCCTGTGAAATCAATGATAACCTTCACAGTTAGGTCCAAGGTACCCAGAGACTCAACAACAGGCGCCGATGTGTTAGTTGGTCCACGATGGGAGATGGAGACCACGATACCTTAATGACACCAGACCACACAATGTCCCCATGATGCCGCGACACCACGTGAAGTCCCTCATAACACCATCACTATACTACGTGATCAACACTTTAGCACACTTGGCCTACGTGACATACTGAAGGTCAAGACACCAGCCTCGGCCAACCACTGGAAACATAATTTTGATGTTCACTTCAAGTTACTTTTTAGATAAACCCTTGATTATTATTATTATTATCACACACACACACACACACACACACACACACACGCGCGCGCGCGCAAAACAAACTGGGACCAAGATCAAGAGACTGATAGAAGAAGGTTTTAAATTCATATTACAGCTCAGTTCGTCTTGAGTCTCTTGACGAAAGTGAGATAAAAAAAATATAAGAGGCATCAAGTCCTTCCCTTTTGCCACCTCCACAAACCTTCACACCTCCCCCCAAAAAAATAGTCGTGGAAGACTTTTTGACGTCGAAAACCTCTCCATTAACTTTGCTGGAATGGAACTTAAATTTGGTGATGGTAGAGAAGAGCGCATAGAACCCGCTCCATACTTCTGTTCTTGGCACCCGGGGAAAGATTTGGCAGTGAGTGGCTGAACGAGTTGATGTGGTCCGCGTGTGTGTGTAGGGGGGATGTGGGTGTGTGTGGGGGAGTGTGTGTGGGGGATGTGGGTGTGTGGGGAGTGTGGGGGGGTATGGGTGTGTGTGTGGGGGGTGGGGGGATGTGGGTGTGTGGGGATGTGTGTGGGGGGATGTGTGTGGGGTGTAGAGGGATGTGGGGTGTGGGGGATGTATGTGTGGGGGGGATGTGTGTGTGGGGATGTGAGTGGGGGTGGTAGAGGGAGATGTGTGTGGGGGATGTGTGTGTGGGGATGTGTGTGTGGGGGGATGTGTGTGTCAGGTAGGTATGTTTCTCAAGCCTGCACTTCACATCCACCCACGAGTCCGATCTGTCTTAAGAACTCAATAACCATGGAAGGCTCGGGCCGATATATTTTTCTGAGAACTTGGTAAAAGGACATCGCTTCTACCACAATATGTCGCATACGTTCAATAATAAGCTTAATCCGATTAGAGTGGCGACTTGGGAAACATTTTTATTGCATCACGTTGCCATAAATTGCATCAGTTGTTGATAATCTGTACAAGTTTAGGTCTTTCGATTCTTTGTACTGTTGTTGGTGATAGACGAGGTATTGTGTGTGTGTGGGTGTGTGACTTTTATGACGAATACTTTTATAAAATCTATCACTATAAAGTCTACGGACCTGGCGCACCATCATTCAACTACTACAAATGGCGTCTGGTATATTATTATTATTATTATTATTATTATTATTATTATTATTATTATTATTATTATTATTATTATTATTATTATTATTATTATTATTATTATTATTATTATTATTATTATTATTATTATTATTATTACTCAGCCTATTTAATTCAATTAAACTTAGTCTATCCCATCCATACCTACTTTTACCTCTCAGATCTTTATCAATGCTCGAAAGAATTTATGAAAACCATTATTGTTTTTGTTTTGTTATGTCATAGGAATTTCTCTTGTTGAAATATCATGGATAAATCAATTATGTGTTAGTTTTTTCTAAGTATGTTTATGGAGAAAATGGTGGAACAACTTTAGTCCGGATTAACGACACGATTAGGATAGGGTCGTCGGATTAATGATAACATTGGATTTAGAATAAGTTTGGATTTATAATATGATCGGATTAATGAGAGGTGTGGATTAAGGTTTGGCTTAGTTCAGGAAAATTTGGATTATGACACTAATAATATTAAGAAGTTCGAAGGAAGATTAAGGACAAGATAGGGTTAAACATGGGGCCAGTTTACCTAAGGCCGGATTAGTGGATGTCAGATTAGTGCATGGCGGATTAGAGTGTTTTATAAGATTAATTACAAGTATACGAGTAATAGAGAGAGAGAGAGAGAGAGAGAGAGAGAGAGAGAGAGAGAGAGAGAGAGAGAGAGAGAGACAAAAAAATATGTAAAGAAAAAAAACAGAGAAACGGCATGGATAAGAGAAAGACAGACAGACAGACAGACAGACAGACAGACAAACAGACAGACAGGCAGAGAAAGAGAGAGAGGTGGGGAAAGAGAAAACATGTATGTATGTATTACGGTATAGAGACAAAACTGGAAGAATGGATGGAAGGTAAGGAAGAGAGGGAGAGAGGGAGGGTGGAGAGGGAGAGAGGGAGGAGAGTGGAGAGGAAGGGAGGAAGGGTGGAGAGGGAGAGAGGGAGGGAGAGTGGAGAGGAAGGGAGGAAGGGTGGAGAGGGAGGTTTGTGGGAGGGGTAGTGGAGGGTTTGGTGTAGGAGAGAGGGCGTAGGAGAGAGGGGCGTAAGAGTGAGAGGTGTTGGAGGGAGGGATGTCGGAGGAAGGTTTCGTATCATAGGGACGAACTAATAAATAAAGTTAAGACGCCAAAGTGTTTTACCCAGTTTCTTTGTTTGGCTGCTGATGAGCTCAGCCGGAGCGAGATACTCTCAAATTAGAGTCCGTACGTGCAGGTCAGGAGACGCCCGTGTGTGTGTGTGTGAGAGAGAGAGAGAGAGAGAGAGAGAGAGAGAGAGAGAGAGAGAGAGAGAGAGAGAGAGACTTACCTACAAAGTATTATTTACTACTATTAATGATGATACTGTAATAATAATAATAATAATAATAATACCTAAACACTGCCCCATGTATTGGCGACGTAGGTATACAGTTTCAGACTATTTTGTAGATCGATGACCAAAGGTTCTTTTTTCTTCTATTTTTCCAATAACATCTCGAAGCAAATATAACTTAGATGGTATTCTCCGGATTTCTCTTGCAGGTCATGTAATTTTTCTGTATATATGGAAGAAGTGTCTTTTATTTTCCAAAGGTTATTTTCAATTTGTGATTATTTAGCTTTTTTAGATGTTGTGTGGGCAATACTATATCCTCCCATACTGTCATGTAAAGAGGTTATTTTTTCCCAGGACGGCGGCGGCAAGAGGCGTTATAAGTCCTCTTCAAGTTGGTTCTCTAGGAAGTGAGAGACGAAAAATGTCAGAAAGCTGGAAAGACAATATTTTCTGGGTATACGACAGACACACGGGGAATGGGTCCTCCGGTGAAGTCAGCGGATCAGGTTAAACTAAAAGGAGCCCCAGTTTACTACTGCAAGGCTGAGAGCTGTGAAGGTTTTGTAGCATTCAACCCATAGTGGCCAGAAGACTCATGGTTCTTTGGCCAAGGCCCCTCCCTCCCTCCCTCCCTCCCTTCACCCACACCAGAGAGGTAAGGAGGGA